ACAAACGTGCACCCTTTTTAATGGTTGAATTCTGAGTTTGTTAGAAGATGTAATTACACACTTATTAATGTATATTTATGAGCACAGTATCCTGTTCTTATGTTAAATAACTTCCAAAAACAACTGACTGCACCTTTAACTCAGAGCAAATGATCTTTTACTTGAACCAACCAGATCTAAAGCAAGCAAACACATTTCTCACCACAAACAAAACACAGTTGCCATATGACTGCAAAACTACGCCGGAAACATTGTTTTCACTCCAAATAGTCAGACTGCCTCTTGGAAAATTGGAAAAATTAATAATAATATTGTACTACATAGGTCAAATTAAAATGGATTTTATAATAAAATGGCTGCAATCAGCTGCCCACACAACATTCGATCCATATATACACAGTAGTGTTATCTTATGAGCATTTTTTTAATGTTTCTTTTAAAAACATATTTAAGACATTTACCTTTATATGTGTAAATCAATACCTTTCTCATTTTGTATTACTTGGTCATCTTCTTTCTAGACCCCACTAGACAATTTGCATAATAATCACCTCTACTGCCTTCCAATTTCAGGTTACAGCTTAGTAAAAATCCATCTCGCAATTTATTGCTTTTGCCCTCCTTTTCCTTCCCATGAGCTTTATTTTGTTCCATCTGAAAAAAGCATTTGATACACAATACTCCTTTTCACAAACTCTTGTTTGCTAGAAAGTTTAGGAAATATGCCCAGTTGACATAACCAGTGGTTATTCCTACAAAGCAAAAATTAATCCTAAAGGGAACACTGACATGTGTACCTAATCTGAATAAAAAATAATAAAGCCTATTTTTTTATAGCATTTAGCAAAACCAGCATTACAAAGAGCTTCCCAGAAACACAGAATAAAAGAACACCCCCCCCCCCCCAAAAAAAAAATAAAAAATTCTGTTCTAAAATTTGATATAATTTGTTGCATGAATGAGTCTTTAGCAGTGTTTTTTTTTTTTTTTTTTTGTAAAGAAGAAGCATTTTAAAGAATTAAGCTTAACTTCTTGAGGCACAACTGAGAAGTCCTAACAGGAAAAGCTCGATTGCCTTTTAAGTTCGAGGTGGGAACAGTTAACAGGTTTCTTCCTTAGGATCAGAGGTTGTGTAATGGTTAGTGCAAGTACTGCAGTTTGGGTATAAAATCTGGGCCAGACAATGAATGGCTTTATAAGTAATAAGTAAAATATTTAAATCCTTTAAAAAAGTAATGGGCAGCCAGTATAGAGTCATTAAGACTGGAGTAATATCTTAACTTTTCTTGGCTCTTGTAAGAAGTCTGGCTCCTGCAAATCTCAAGTCTGTTTAATGTCTTCTGATTGATATTTATTGAAAGACAATTACAATAGTCTAACCAAGAAGCAATAAAAGCATGAATGATAGTCCAAGTGTTATTAAAACGATTGATAATGTTTCTGAGCTATTCCTCATGTGGGAGTATCAGGACTGGCTGAACTTGTTTATATGTTTGTCAAAGTTGAGATTAGAATCAGATAATACTGATAATCGCATGGCTGCCACTCCCTGAGCCTGGTTCTGTCAGAGGTTTTTTTCTTATTAGAAGTGAGTTTTTCCTTCCCACTGTCACCAAAGTGCTTGTTCATAAGGTCATCTGATTGTTGGGGTTTTCTGCACTATTATAGGGTCTTTACCTCCCAATCTAAAGCACCTTGATCTTAATTTTTGTTTAAATGCACACACATGCATTTCTTAATATGAAGTCAGAAAGATCTATCCATAAAGACCACAAAAGATGGACCTAGCTTGCAAGAAAGGTGAAACCTGAAGTGCTTTTAAACTGCATTCTTTTTAACAGCCACTAGGCGGCGATGCCCTTGATTGCAATAGGACCTATTAGAAATCAGTGGAAAAACAGTCCTGGACTTGACCTCTGTTGGCACTTTCATAATGAGTTTATAGGCTCAGCAACTAATCTGTGACCATACTGAATGAAAATTTATTTTTAAAGTTTCAGGAAGGAAGGCTTTCTGGGGTGATGCTTATTGGATAATGACTTGTGACTGACAAGTTGGTAGCTAATGAGTGTGAGATTTCATAGTCAGAAATGGAGATACAAATGGGTGATGTCATTCTAGCTATGTCCATCTTTGTTTGTGAGTCCATCAACAAAGCTGTATTAGCTGTAGAGGTGCTGTAGCTGTACTGATGCCCATGGAAACCCAGTTACCATTGAGGTACTTCAAGATTTCTAATTAAGAGACATTTAAAAATGACACCAACAACACAAGAGATAGAAATTGACTAATTCCAGTGTTTTGTTTTGTTCTTTTTTTCCACTGATTTTTAGAAAAGACATTATGTTCTGTTCAAGTTCAAGATTTTATTATTATTCAGTGCAATAACAAAAATTATATTTGTGCTTTCATCTTTGCAGATGAACCCTGCTGACCCTGCAGTTAAATGTTGGCCACCTCCAACAACACTCAGAGACAACTTTAGGTAGACTTATGAACTGTTAGGTGTGAGGTGGCGGTTTTGACTGCCTAGAATGGAAACACTAACAAAATACACAAGTGGAGTCCTGTTGTTACTCCGTTGGTGGACGCACACGATCACGATGCTGAGCTATGAGACAAACAACGCAATAACAGACGGACTGAGAGAACAGAGTAAGCATTTCTTCAGTTTAGGGGGAAACAGCAGAGGCGGCAATGAGAGTCATGTTGTTGATGCTTATGTGGTCACATGCAAACCTAACCACCATCCCTTGGGATATCCTTAAAAGAGGTTCAGATGCTGATCGAAAAGATGATTTCCCCCAATGACCCTGCAGAAATGAAAGGGTGTAGCAGGTGGTATCACATCAGGAAATTATCACGCACTTTGCATGTGGATGTTTCACTTAGGTCAGCATTCTGAATATGTGATCTGAATGGGCCAAATGGGCCAAGCAAAGAGAGAGTCAGCGTCTGATTTTTGTTCTCATGCATGTATATGTGCCTCAGCTCTGAGCTTGTGCCTCACTATGTCAGCTAAGAATTGTGGTCTGTCTAACTGTGATTCTCTGGGTCTATCTCTCCGAGCAGATGTACTCTTTTCTGCTGCACAGCTGCATCCCACATGTTTTCACGCTGCTTGACAATGCACGTATATTCTCTTCTGCTCGGAGCTCTAATGTTAGTGGTGATACTGGTGGTGCTGGTGGTGGACGATTCCTACTATTCTTATGGCCCTGATCTGCCCTTAAACCAGAGTTAAGCAAGTAGCACTCCGGCCCCGCTTTGGTCCTGAAAAATCTCCAGTTCTGTAATGTGAAGAATGTAGAAGGTAGGGGGTCAGAACTGGCAGGGTCTGCCACAGCTTCATAGCACACTGAGTCATTTCCATAATTGCCCACAATCAAACCAACCCCTCTTGGATTCCACCCGCTCCAGATTCCTGTAGATAAGCTGTGCCGCAGCTTTGGTGAGTGCTGGAGACCCCCAAGTAAGAACAGGTGCCGCTAATGTAACTGATTTCAGGTTTTCCCAATGTTTCCCCGGTAATTGCTCTGGGTTGAACAGTCCCTTTTGGATTGCTATCATGTGACTTTCCTGAAGAGCGGAATGAAAGAGGGTTTGTCCCACATTTGGTATTATCAGGAGACTTTAGCCAAATTAAGATGCCTTACTGTAAGTACGACTGTACAGGAACAAATCACTGGGCATCAGATTGTTAGTGATTGATTCGCATTGTAGCCAATTTTCCACCGCCTACAAGAAAAGTACTGCAGAGCAAAGCCTTTAGACCATAAACGAAGTCAAACAACCCATGACACAATATGCAGTGTGACGTTTCTCTAATGCTACAGTCTCTTAAGAGATATCAGTCGCTGCCACAGCAAAGCCATTCAAGAACCGAGGCAAGTCATTTTTGACATGACTGTTCATTAACTAAAATACGGTGAGAATCTGTATATGGGGGGGGGGGACAGACAAAAAAGTAGTATAAAAAGGCACAGGTTGATTGTTTTTAACAAGTTTAAAAGAGCATATGCAAGTCTTTACGTAGCTAGTAATTACTGCGTATTAAAATAGTCACTGGCTAGTTTACCCATTCTTAAAAGCCTGCGTTAGCTTTCCCCAGAACCGTGCAGGTACAGTTTTAGTAAATGTACCTTAGGTACACCACACTACATCAGAAGAATAATGCTTACTTGACGTACAACTGTAAAGGTTTTTCATATTTATGAACAACGACCGCCGTCTTAGGGAGGGAATTCAGGAGAAGTTTAATAGTCTATTACATTTCTCTCTCGCTATTGTCAAAATAAGTCATTACACTGACGTGATAAGTACAGGAAGGCAGTGAATAATGAGCAACAGTCGTTTTAATCGCCTCTACCGTCGAATGAGCGTTCGGTACTTTACTCCCCCCACCACCTCCTGTCTCCGTCCGCCGCTCTGCCAGGTAACCGTTTACCTCGACGTGGACGCGACTGTGGCCACACGCGCGCTCCCGCGAAGTCATACGTCACTGTGCTCGCTCCTCTTCTCGCGCGCTGGTTAAAAAGAAGGAGGAAAGAGCACGGGAAAACATGTGAGCGCTCTGAGGACTTTAGTGAGAGGCAACTTTTATTTTTCTTATATGTTTTTTTACCTGTGCATGTCCAAACTGCCGTGCTGTGCTCAAAAAGGAATTACATCTTAACGGAACGTCACGGCTTTATTTTTTGTATTTTTTCCACTTCCACTGTTTTGCGGGTTTTGGCTTTTTCTGCTCATCAGGATAAAATGTGTTATTATTTTTGCTTTCATATTGTTATTATTATATTATTTTAATTTTCGGAGTTATACTGTATAACCAGAAGGGAAAAGTAGGGCTAATTTATTTTAAACACCTGTTTTCATACTAACGAATCACATTTAGAACACCTGCGTGTACAAATTTGACTGTTGTTTTTTTTTTTTCCTGCGTGGAGAAATATATACATGTAAAAATATAGTGCACTCCAGGTCAACATCTCTCTCTCTCTTTTTTTTAAAGGGACGCGTTTTGTTTTATTTTCTATTATTATAATTAATATTATTGCAAGTGCATTTTATTATCTTTTGAGACTATGAAGCATTTGCAATTTGTGCTTGTGCTGGCCATCGCGGTCAACGTGTGGGAATGTGGGGACGCAAAGTTTGGCGAGAGAGGAGAAATGAGCCCCAGGAGAAGAAGATGTTACGACGGAAGCTTGCCCAAGCGGCTGAAGAAAAGGGAGCGAAAACTGTTGCTTGACGGCAGCAGCGGAGGAGAAGTTTGCCACAGGCTGTATCCTCGCGTATCCTGCTGCCCCACCAGGAGAGCCGCCTATCAGATCCTGCACCGCAGGGATCCCAGGGTAAGTTAAAGTCCGTCCGCACACACAGCATTTTCTTCTAATGAAAGGACTGGCTTTTTTTTAATATATATATTATTATTGCTAAGGCACCTGAGGACATGCATTTACAGCCTTTGTGCATTGTCATTCTGCTTCTTACTACCGACAGCTGAATTTGAGGATGGCAAGAGGAAGTTGCCTTGGGCTATGCTGCCAAGAAGAAGTCCTAATTTTTATGTTGCTGTGGGAAAGCTATTGTAGCCTTAGTGGTAGGCGACCTTTAAATAGCTTCAGATGTAATCCCCATTCATAAAACTGTAAGCATATGCGTGGCTTAATTTTATTTATTTCCCCCTCTTTTCAGTATCGCTGTAGCATTTATACAATCTTCGGAGAACAACTTAATCTGCTTCTATCGGAGGCAGCCTTAAAAGTGAAGAAAAATCCTGCTTTCAGCAATAAAATGTTTACCAGCTTCTCATAATACGGTTCAACTCTAATTCGGTGTGTCCAATCCGCTTCGTTGTTACCATGGCAATCACTCGCCCGATTTACGTTACTTCTACGCTGGCCACAGTGAGCTCCAACCGCCGGCTGAGAGTGACAGAAAGAGGCACTAGGTAACTAACTGTTGAGCCATTTACCCGACAAGGTAGGAGTTCGGCTGTACCCTTTTTTTTTAAAGTCAGCCGTCGACCTTTTTACTGGAACTGGAAGCTGATAAGGATTTTTCCCCTCTTGCCGGCTGTTTGGCAGCCGTTGGTTCTCAGAGTTAACGCTCAGACGTTTGTTTGTCTAACGTCTTTTAAGTGTCTCGCGCTCTTCCACTCTTGACCGTTATGGCGCCAACCGAGGTAATAATGTAAGTGTTAAAATGTAATGCAGCGCAAAGCTCAGAGGGGGGGGGGGTTAATTAAACCGCTCTTCGGAAATGCAGGAAGGAGAAAAAAACAGCGAGTGTATGCGGCCAAACTTGTAGCAGATTCCTTTGGATCCTCACCGGGCCATTCTCATGTAAACCACCCCTCGAATCATTCAGTGGCTGGGTGGTATCTCACTTTGTGTTGCGACAAAAAGCCATATTGCATCATTTAATTTGCTCAAGTCATGCAAATAAGAAGGGGTGGGGGGGTCGAAACTGAATAGGACGAACTCGACTTCTCCTCCTCCCAACTACACTGCCCACACACGGAGCCCTTTCTGATTATGGCAAAAGAATAACAACAACACCATTGTGTTTGTTGGTTTCACTAATGGGAGAAGCTGGAGAACATCATTCTCCCCCCAGTCATGAGCCCCTGTCCAAGTGTTAATGCCTTTGAGAGGGTGCGTGTCTTTCACTATATCCCCCCCCGCGCAATAAACTTACACCTATTCCCCGAGGACAAGTGTTTTGTTAACGCTTAGTGTTGCCTACCTCAGTGCTTGTCTCCCTTCTCCTATCCCAGTCTCCCTGATTGTGTGAGGACTGTCCAGATTTTTTCTCTATTTTTTTTATTCCAGCTGAATCGTATTTTACATTTTCATTTTTTTATGTGTTAATGTGTTTCTTCTGTGGATTTTTGCTGTTGAGTCATGCAGATGCGATCATAGAAGGAGCAGCTGTTCTCCCACACAAGGCTGAGCTTTGCAGGTGTGAAGGGAGTTTTAATAAATAAAAAAATGCAATGTAAAAATCTGAAATGACAGGGGAGTTAAGTTACTCATGATTTAATTTTCTTACCCATTGTAGTTCCACTTTTTTCCCCGATTGTGACTCTGCTCTTGATCTCTGTGAAAGTGTGACAGCTGAGCCTCCTTGTTGCTGTTTTCTCCCTGTTTTTTTTGAGGCGTGTACTCACCAAGATTGAGCGAGAGACAACAAACAAAGGTTCACTTGTTCTGGTTTGGATGATGGCAACATTGGAGCCCATCCCAGTAACATATGGACACAGGGCATGGTTGAGAGCACACAAATGCTACTCTCTGTGGACCTTGTGCCAGCCTATGGCACGCAGAATCAATGGGCAATTTAGAGCAGGAGAGCAGGCATGCCCGCAACACTACAGGGCATGAGCGTAGAGGATACCGAGACAGAGGTACACACTGTACATACAGTGCAGAGCTCCCTTTTGGAAAGGGGTTAGATAAATTGCAGAACAAAGATACCATTCAGTATGATTCTGTCTTTGTTTAGTCCATTACATTGCCTTCTATGAATTGCGATTTCCTATTTGCATGTCTGAAAGTGTATTTCACCTTATGGGCAAAATCAGCACTGTACAACTTCTGAAGAGAAAGTCTGTTCTGCAGCTTCAACTCGCTCTGCAACTAGAGTAAAGTGTAAGGTGTCCATATGTTAGCCTTGGGTCCCCTGGTCTAATTGACTTCGACAGACTGCTAATTTGTTGATACCAGAGAGGGAATGATGTGCCTGTCTATCTCTAAATTGGTGTTTACACATGGACCTCACACAGAGCAAAGCACTACCAGCCTGCTGCCTGCAAACAGCACTTGACCTAAAACAGATTACATTGTGTTTTATTATAGCTAATTTGTTATGTAAATAATCCTGCTAATTTCTTTTGGATGAAGTCTATGTATACCTTTGCATAATCACCCCAAGTCAGGCTTTGAGGCGCTTATTTGGTTTCATTCATTTTTTGCTTTGAAATTTGTCAAGCGTGGGTATCGTAATTTGATTTTAAGTGTTTGTGAACTTGGTAAGTAGGCAGAGAATGAGATGATCTTTTTGTTTATTTCTGTTTACAGAAAGGGAGGTCAGACTGTAGGCTTGACAAGTCTGTACAAAAGGCGACTGAATAAAAAATGTTGCAATTGTATAGAAAATTTAAGCATGTTGAGTATTTCAGGAAAAGACAAAAACAACTTTTAGACCTTTGTTAGAATTCACTTTTATGAATGGGATCATGCATTATCCAGTGGGAGAACAAGGAGGTAAGTGACATCACTAGTTGCTGCTGAAAATGTGGAGTCGGGTGATGCAGATGCAATTGTGGAGTTTTTGAAGACTTCAAACTGAAAGAAATAAAAACTAAAACTAAATAAAAACACCCCAAACATATCCACTGTAGAACATTAACAGAGTCCATGGCATTAACATTAAGCTTTTCATGTATGTAGTGAACAAATTATACGTCATATATATCTTATAACTATCTTTAAATCTTGTGAGTACTTGCTTTATATATATCACATTGGCTAATTTCATGTAGTTAAATGGGAGCATAATGTTAGACATCATATACACATATTTACTGAGCTGATATATACAAGCCTAACACTGAAATAAATATACAAAAATATATAAAAGTATATAATTTGAACTCAGTGAGATCATTTGAAAGCATCTTGCGTAGTTTTTCTAAATTCTCAGTGTCGTCATATTCAGGAATTTATAACAAAGATTTGAAAATGAATCTCACAATCTAAACTCTCCCTTCTTCATAGTGTAATATTTATCATGCTGCTATCACCAAATGTCCAGCTAAACCTAAACTATATGTTTGCTTGCGTAGTGAGTGTGAAGTGAGAGGTAAAAGCAAACAGCAAGCCGTTCTAATCAGGCGTATGCCCTTGTTGCGTGTGGTCTCCAGATTTTCTCCACCAACAATACAGAATGTGGACGTCTCCTGGAGGAGATCAAGTGTGCTCGCTGCTCCCCCAATGCCCAGGTGTTGTTCCACTCCTTGGACATGGATAAGATGCCACACAGGGAGCCAGACCTGCCACGGCTCTGCCAGAACTTCTGCCGCGAGTTCTACTACACCTGCAGGGGGCACATACCAGGTAATTACACAGATAATAATAGCCATTATTATAACTTTAATGTTGCCAGTGTGGTTACCTGATGGTATCCAAGTAAACATACATAGTGGAAAAGATTAAGTTAAAGTAAGCATGTGCTATATTTGGTCATTTGTAATTTTCATAAATTCAAATTGATGCGAACATGTTGATTTTGATTTATTAAAAAAAAAAAAATCAAACCCAGCCACACTTCTCATTGAGACTCAGCTTTCACATGCATGTGCAGCTGGAAGATTTTTGAACTTATGCAAGAAGTGGTGCGTCAATAGTCTGGTCTGTGGATATTTATTTATTCAGCTCTTACCTCATCTGACCTCACCCCGATTTGCTGTTGCTTGTCTCACCCATTTTTCTTGCTTTCTACCTCGTTTCTTAATGCATCAGTAAAATCACTTGCCACACTCTGGCTGTACGGACCCAGCACCTGATTAGTGTGCAGGCTGGCCTAGCACATTTGAGTAATCAAATTTGGAGAGTGATTTTTGTGCTTCTTATGACACAGTATCGAGTCTAGCTGTGTTTATGTCATCAGGTGCCGATATTGTTGTTCTCACGTCTCTGTTAGGTCTGTTGGGATCATGCAGGGTTATTTTAATCAGCAGAAATTTGCAATAAATTAACTTTCTGAAGCCCTTGAAGGTAGTAACAATATGCAGACTTGAGACAGTTCGTGACATGTGAATGGAAAATATTAGATATGCGAAGGTGGGTGTGAAAACAAATTTCATGAATGCACTGACAAAATCCAGCCGGCCTGACCTGTGTTCCAGAAAACTTGACTGACTGGAGAAAAGTGAACTATTTTATAACCTGTTCCTGGATGCAACTTGCTAGACTGAACTGCTGGAGTTGATTCTGTATTTGGGATGCATATGCACCCTAGCTGTGGTCTAGACATGACTGCTGGGTGCTTTGCCTTCCTCAGACATAAACTGTCAACTAAAAAAACTCTCTCATACTCTGCCATTAAACTGTTTTCATTTGGGTAGTAGGTTAACATGATTTGTAAACATAGCTGAAGTGTTGCTGTACTGGCCTCTGTCGTTCCTGACTATTAGATGGCAGAAACACAAAAAAACAAAAAAGCCATTGATGCAACAGTTTTCTATATGTGTAATGTACTGTTAAATGGGACGCCTCTATCACTGAAGCATTTTCTTCTCAGAAGATCACAGGTACCTTCAGAGTGCACACCACACAAGATCAAACACTTCTTGACTGTCTCTTCTCCTACAGCCAAGTCTTCTTCCAGTCTCGGTCGCCACAAACTGATTAGATCTGCTAAGATTTGCAAACAGAGAACAGTTTCAAACACACTTGTCTGCAATCCACCCACATGATACGCTGCAGCTCAAGTCAAATATCAAACACATACATTCCATCGGAGTCCTTGCTCATCTGCATTTAATGGCCTACCGTAGTATCATGTACAACAATTCAACTACAACTGATGTTGGCGAGACGGACTCTACAGAGCAAAGGCAAAGAAGAAGAAGTCTGGCATTGTCAGAGTTACATTGTTTCCTTATGAACTGATAGACATATGGGCTCAGAGAGTCAAACCAGAAAACCTCAAGAGAAGAATCCAGACAAGACTCCCACCCCGTCCCCCCACTGTAGGCTCCTCCCTGTACACCCCCCATCAGCCCCCACAGATCAGCATATGTGGTGACGAATGACACATTTATTTTTCTACAAAGGTTGTGTGTATGTAAAACTGCTGAAGTGCATCAAGATGTCAAGTACTTTGGGTGGGCCACCCAGGTTGCCTTGGAAGATAACCAGATGGAAGTATAACTTTAGCAGTGGGGAGCCAGGAATATGGACAGAGTTCTGTCTCTCACTCTGTGTGTCTTTGCCTTCGCTCCCTTGTTCTCGCACTTCTTTTCTCCTTTGATTTGTTTCCTGCCTTTTTTTTTAATGTTAACTCTTTTACAGTATCTTTTGTTAGTGCACACCCTGCAATGAAGGTAGAAGACATTGTCAAGCATACAAGGAGGTATTGGCGATTCCTGAAAATCATCTCCAAACTACAGACAGATTAATTTGATTGAATGATGTACAATATGAGCAATGCTTTTCTTATGCATTTGCATAAATGGTAACAATTAAGTTGGAATTTTTGAATGTGCAATTCCTTTTTTTTATTGTACCTGAATATTGTAATGGGAGGCAGCAAAAGTGAACATAACCACAAACCTTGCCTATCAGTGTCACCCGTTTTGCTAATACAAAATCACCAGTCACAGGTATTAAATTGAAACAGTAGCCTTTACTGCACCCATAACTGTCGTTCTGCACCCATGAAACTTCCTACCAGTCCTTGATTAGCCCATGTACCCCTTTTCTCCATAAAGCTATTTACTGCCTTGACTCTCACTTCTGCCTGGGGGCCTCCCACCTTCTCCATACTTCTCTTATGTCCTCCTCCACTCATCCCCGCACCCTCCATTCGATGTCCCCAACCAGCATGGTTAAGATAACTGCAGACACTAGAGTGTGGGTGGTATAGTCAGAGCTGTGTGTGTGTTTCTACGTGTGTTTGATCTTCATGTTATGTTTAGATGTTTGAGGGGATATCCTATCACCTCCAGTATTTGGTGCGGTCAACCCTTGCGGTGTGGGGCACAGGGAGTAGATGAAAGGAGGGACAGGGAGAGTCCTGTTTGTGTTTTTACCACTGGTGTATTTGCTTTCCTCTGTCCTCTGAGGGATTGACTAAAGGAAACAATATTGGTAAGATTGTTTTTAGGTCGCTAAGGGCCCCGAAGACCCACTGCGCACTCTGCTTATTGCCGGGAATAATGTTGTGACTGCACTGGCTCGAGGGGCAGCTCTGTGTGACTCCTGTGTTTATGCAGATTACCCTCTCCTCTGGCACTAAGTCGTTTTAGGTAAACTAGCAGGCCAAAGGGAAATAAGGAATGATGTGATGTCAGTTTTACTTTGAACTCATGGGCAGAATTTATGGAAATACAATCAGTCAGCATTTCGGAACATCATGTCTTTGTTTGGCAATTCAAGTGATGAAAAGCTCTCACCCTGAAAACAATTTTGTTTATTCAGTCACATGCCATATTAAACAGGTGGACTTTTTCATTTCACAGGCTATGCCCATGTGCAGCTCTGTAATGCAAAACAGCCAGACCAGAAGAGTAAAACAAGTAATTTGGTTGGGTTTTTTTGTTTGTTTGTTTGTTTTTATTTGATCAAAGAACATTTTAGGATACCTGTGACTGGCAAGAAAAATGAAGGAATAACATTTTTAACTCCAGCTAAGTGAATGAACACAGTTTGAAAATTGGAAACTGCCATCCAGCGTCACCAGATTAGTTAACCGTTAAATGTGTTGATTTTGAGAAATAATGATGGGAAAAGTTGTAAAAATGTAGTTTTAGAAGAGTTTTGTAATTTGGTAACTTTTTTGACATTTGTTTTCAAATTATTTTTTCTGTATCTATAGTGTTGCAGAATATATTCAAGGGGGTATATGTGTGATTCATGAAATTAATTTGGTTCCCATAATTCACTGTGATGGAGACATATTGTTTCTGGTATAGAGTCAGATGCTTTTGGCAAGGGTTTACCTAGTTAATAATTCTAGTAATCATATATTTGGCTTTCTTTGTGTCTCACATTTTTCAAAATGATTGAACTCCTTGTGGAGCTTTGTGGAGTCTTCGTTGGGATGCAGTGGGGTTTTTTTCTTTTTCTTTTTTTCCCTAGAAATAGCTTTCTTAAGACCACTTCTGTGTATGTCACAACCTAGTCAACCATCAAATGATCTATGAATCAGTTGAAGAATTATATTTTTAGTGCCAAACAGACAAAATTATAGTCCTCATCATGCCAGTTCTTGTACTAGGTTTATTTCAGATTTTTTTTCATGTACAACGGCTGAGATGTGTACTTCCTCAGCAAGCTTGATGAATTTTGCTGCCACTTGCAATGTGTTGCTGTTCATTTCCAGTAAGCTTTCATTTAGTGTACATCGACAGCGCACACTGGGTTTAACTATCTAAAGCAGTTATAATTAAAGGATCATCCAGCTGTAGCAAATGCAACCTCATTATTGCATGGTGTTGAACCAACTGAATAGAAAGACAGTCTCTTCTACTAGGACTAAGGCATGAGCATTATTTCATGAATAAAAATAATGACAAGGTAAACTAAAATTTAGAATGCAGTCATTCTTCTTTCCGGAAGAGGTATAGTTCACTGTAGAGCCCTTTCTAATCTGTGATCCATTTGGTTTGGCCCAGTTTGCTTTCACTTGTTCTTTTCAGCTCAGTCTAGCCAGGATTTGTTTTGGCTCGTCAAGTAAAACTCCAACTCTCCCCGACATATTAGCACATCACATCATTTCTCATCACATCTCTCTTCTTCTGCCTCCACTTACAATCTCATCTTCTCTTGCATAATAGCCACAATACATTATAGGCAAACCAAAGCAAGCAGGCCAGACGAGCCAAGTATAAGAAGCCATGCAGTATCTAGTGTGTATGACTCCATATCTCGGTATCTGTTGTGTTTTCTAGAACTGTTCCAAGCCGATGTGGATGAGTTCTGCCAATACTATGGGAGGAGAGATGCCAGTTTGTGTTTTCCAGATTTTCAACGAAAGCAATCACATCATCAGGATTCTAACTACTTGGGAGATGAGAAAATAGAAGAAATCAGCAGGTATGTAGTCTGACTTTTACAGTGTTTTACTGCATTGATTGCGTGATACTATGGAAGCTCTAAAGTAATTTTTAAAATAAGTTTTGACAGTGCCATGTGTTCTAACAAAATTAGCTTCTTGGGTTTTTTTCTATACCTATGAGAAGCAGGCATAGCTTTGGAACATGTTTTGGGTTCACTGGTCCATTTTGACATGGTCCATACTTTCAAACTGACATGCCATGCAATTTCTCCTGTAATCCTAAAGTTTGTACAGACTGCTTTTGCTCAGCTTTGCTAACATAATGAAAATGCTTATCCTGCGTCATTCTGTTTTCCTCCCTCACTGCAAAGGTCTGTACATCACAGAGAGCTTTGCCCTTTAGTCCATGGGGGGGATGCCTTTCATCTCAGTTTTCCCTAGGGCAGAAAGGCCAGAGACTAGGCACCTGAACAGCAGCAACCAACTTTCCGTCAAATAACTTCCGACAGTCACTGAGTTAAGGGCTTAAATTGTCTCTTCTGTCTCATATCCTCTGAGAAGTGTAAGCACATAAATGACAGTGAACAGGCTCCATTACTTTAAAAGAGTGGGAGAAAGAGCCAGAATTAAGTCAGCCGAGCTATCGACTGAGAATATGAGCTTCATTTTGGTGATTTAAGGCACAGAGCTTAAATGCCCTGTGTTCCTTGCACAATGCAGTGTGGCAATTGTGCACTTTTATGGTATAGGCAAAAAAAATTGTCATATATGTTGTCACTGGGTGGTGTGGATGATTATAGACTGATTTTTGCCATAGCACTTCATATTGACCTCTCTTATGTAGATTAACCTAAGTAGTCATGTCCACAGCCTGGAAATCTGCAGGGGTTCTTGCCCTCGTCTCACACTGGCACATTTGAGGGTAAATGTAGGTGGATGAGGTTGAACTTACTGGGTTTTCTTCTTTCAAAGAGCCAGATCTGACACACACAATTATTGCCCAGAAAAATCAATGTTTTGAATAAAGATGGGCAATGACATTTTTCTTATAATATTTTATTGTTCTGAGTGTCATGAATTGCAGATAGAGTGCTCAAGTGCAGATGCCTGGAGGCAGGCAGGTTAAACAGAAAATCTATCTTTATTAGGTGGACGTGATGTTCAATAATCAAATAATGAAGTCCACGAACTGAGACACAACAAATACAGGGAAACACACTAGGAGAGTAAACAGGTTATAAAATGAAATAAAGTTAAACCAGGAGTAAACCCTCAACCTATAATCAGACAACTAAGAACATAAACTCGCAAAGAAACCAAATAAAATGTCTAAGAACAAAGAGTACAAAGCTTAAAAAAAACCCTCAGAGCTCCAAGACCCAGGATCATGACAGTCAATAAAATATGACAGTGCAGCTGATTTAGTTTTGCTTTGCATGTAAATGGATTTAGTAGTTATCAGCTAGGACACCTTTTAAATACCTACAGCAATAATTGTTTTTAATCATTGTCCAGGTAATGTATACTGTTGCTGGATATAGTGTATTATTCTTTTAGTTTATGTATGGAAAAACCCTCAACATTTGAAGCCTACGGCGTAAAGCTATGGAGGTTTCACTGCTTTCAGGTCTGTTTGTCCCAGTAGAGGTAAGGGTGACTGCAGATCTGTTCAGTGTGATCACCTTTGGCCTGTGATCAGACATTTATAGAGCATAATAGGTCATGATTATGAAAATGATGTGGATCAGTGAACCATAGCTCTTGGTGGTATTTGCATTTCTTTTAGATTATGTTCTGATAAAATGACAAGATATCTTTTTGTGAGAAAAATGTTCCTGTAGAATCAATGCCAAGATTCACTGAACTTGTTGAGGTGGCAGGTGGTTGCCAAATATCTTATAAAGACCCTGGTATGTTTTGGGGGTTATTTTGTTTTTATCTTTCATCTGTACTGCTACCTGAAAGTCTTCCTGTTCTGTCTTATTGCTGGATTTACTGACATAGTCATTCTCTGTTCCTGTTCATATCTGGCATTAAAATGTGTCTTAGATTATTTGTTCACTGCTGAATAAATCTAAGTATAGAGATAGTATAGTACAGTAGAGTATTGAATGCACCCATGAAGCAGTCACATTGAGTCAGTCAGTCAGTCCATTATTTCTGGTGGTCTGCACAGCAAATGGCATCAGTTCTTTTAGTAGTACTCTAGTGATTTGCCTCTCCCTAGTGAAAAACAGCACTTTGGCAGAGTGAATTGAGTTGTTTACCTGCAGCTATCATTAACCATTTATTTTGAATAATACTGTTGTGCAAGGAAAAATAAAACACTTTATAGTGTTTGACCTTGCTTAGCTATGGTTCAGCTCATGTGCTCAAAACTGGTCAGTCAGGGTGGTGGTTCTGGATTGGAATTTAGAGATAATTGTTGGTAACAAGTAAGTTCCAGTAATTTAGTAGTCCGTTTGCTCTCTGGTTGCAAGCAGAATTGAGTTTGCAAACTTGAGCCCATGCAGGATTCTAACATTTGGTCTTAGCAAGCGGAAATAATGTAGAGTACTTGTTTGTTTGCCTGTAAAGTGGGAGAGTGAGAGCCGGTCAAAAGTGGTCACTCGATACGTATGCTAATGCCAAGTGTGAAATGACGCACTTAGCACGGTCCGTTTATGATCGGATCACCCAAGACGCATGTTGATGGCAAATATGAACAGGGCCCTTGACATTTTGTATCTTCCTTGTTACCCAGGAAACACAAACACAACTGCTACTGTGCCCAGGAGGTGTTGAGTGGTCTAAGGCAGCCGGTGGCTGTGGTGCACTGTGGAGATGGTTCCCAGCGGCTCTTTGTCCTTGAGAGGGAGGGAATTGTCAGGATACTCAACCATAACCTCGAGCTAATTAAGGAGCCTTTCTTGGACATCCACAAGATAGTGCAGAGCGGCTTGAAGGTAGGACCAACTTTGCCTCATACTGTTACCTGTGAATTATAGAGGTAATATGTTGAACTAGATAATCATAGTTGTAAAGAACAAGGGGAAAAGAAAGAAAGAAAGAAACATGGCTGAGAGTACATAAAATATTTCTGCTACATTTCTAGAGTAAGGAAGTAATACAACACATGTCTTCCCAACACAAAATGTTTTCACCTGTGTAATGAAATGTCTCCAGGCAAGGAAAATCCCTTGGCAGTCTTGCTTGCATACTATTAGTATTATATTATATGATTAGACCAAACAAGCAGTCATTCATTAATTGTGATTGTGCATTGCGCTATTACCTGCTAATTAAATGTACACAGTGCAAACATTAAGCAAACTGATAATTTCTGCTACCTCTCATTAGAATGGTTAATGGCTTTCTTAATCTCTTCCATATTGTTCCTTTAAGGGTTCCAATATTATAGGGTCTTATTTATATGACTACCACACGTGATAATGGGAATGACAGTTAAGTTTAAATTGTAACCTTGTTTATGCTTGTAGTTCAGTTAAACAAATAACTTCATATTAGAGGTCTGTGAAATCTTTTTTTCCTCGTCCTGCACTCTTAGTGTAGTCATTGGGGTGTTATTAATACAAATAAAACCTGTAGACCTGAAAAGGCGGATCTAGCCGCACCTCTGTAACATTTAACTTGTCTGTCTGACCATCTCTCTTGCCAGAAGAGGGAGGATGGCAGGGTAAACATATGTTCTACTTTTGTTTGGCTATCTGCCCTATGTGGGAAAAGTAAACATAGCCAAAGCAATAAAAAAAAAAAAGTGCACATGAATTTTATTGTTTATGTCTTTTGAACATGATACACTCTTTTGGAAATAGTTAGGCTTGCTGTGTCCTTGAGTTGATGTATTCTCAAAAGTATGTGTGCCGTGCTACGCTGCTAGTTCTTGAAATGTCTTCTTTCTTTTTTTTATAAATTCTCTATGGATATATCATTTCCAAAGACACTTAATCTTCTTGAGATTTATTTTTATATCCGTAGAGCTTGGGTAATCACAGATTTTGAATTTGGTAATTGTTCAGGAATTGTTTAGATTGCATGAGGAGATGTGGTAGCTTAGATGTCTGTGGGGGGCACACTCCCAGACAGGAAGTTTATCCATCACGCATGCCTCTTGCTCCTCCACTGACAAGGTCCTCTGCTTACAAGGAGTCAAACGGAGCAGAGCATTTGAATATTAAGCTGCACCCTTTGGGATGCTCACCCCACTCTTCTCAGCTCTCTTATCTTAATTTACTCCAAACTAGTTGTGGATAAAGTCACTATTATGACAATTAGATGTGGCTCAATCCCCCTGCAAGCCCCAGGAGTCCTATTCTGAACTGTTGGCTGCCATAACGGTGCAATCCACTCCAAGGGAGGGCTAAGGTGTTTACTGGCAGAATCAACAGGATGGAGCTGCCTTTATACATAAAGAGGAACCCATGCTCTCAAGAGACAAGGCAGATAACGGGTTAATCATCAACCTCATGCACATGCTTTGATTGTAATGTTCTATGTTTCCTCTTACTCTTCTGTCCCCCTCCTTCCATGGATCCCTCGGTGCCAATTTAGCTGAACTGCACAAAAACAATACTACACTCTGGTGTGGGCTTCTACATGGCTGTGGGTGTTCTTAGAAATTCAGTTTGCTTTTAAAGTCATACTGTCCATTTATATATTCATGTTACAAACTTTCAGTTGATTATGTAACTCAGCGGGATCCTGTCTGCAGAAATCTATAATTGTTAAAATAATTTAAGCCCTATTTTGGACTTGTTGTTTGCAAAGAAACAATATAGCATGTCAAATCTGAGTAACTGTTGATGTTGTTTTTTCTTTTTTTGCCGGGGTTTGGGGGTTGTTTCTTAAATCTATTCCACATCCTTCAGGTTAAAAAGAATAGGGACCATTGGGTTTGTTATCAGCGCACAGTTCCAAAGCGATTATCTGTGATCGTGTGTGGTTATATTACTGTTTGTGGCATAGGTGCACATCAGTGAAGATAATATATACTGGGTTTACATCTCTTGCCTTTTTACATGATAGCTTTCCTCATCCAGATTTTAAAACAATAATTCACTATAACAGAGCCCAGGTGAAAAACTCACATACCCGCAGTTCAGACCTGTAAACCATTAGAAACACTGGACACTATATTAAGCAATAAATTGGGACAAAAGGATGGCCCCATATGCTGCTCCAAGTTTGTTTTGTTGGGGGGTTTTTTTTGTTTGTTTTAATCTGTTACTGGCATCAAATGAGCATATTCTTGATTGTTTTAATATGTTACATTTGTATTGTTTTTAATTGAATATAGGTTTTAAGTTAATTATACAAAGATTAATTTTTATCCTCTCTATGTTTTACATAGCCTATAGGGCTGGGCGATTTGCTCCATAGTTCAATCATACTGTCTTTCTCCTGTTGGATTGCAAAGCATTGCTGCCAGGAAAGGATGGCAGAGGAGGTTAACATGCACCAATTAGGGCTGTACTCCCTAAAATACAATGTGTGGCCTAAATTCAGAAAACTCATTACACACTGGTGAGAGAGAAACACACACACTGAGAATTTATTTCTCAAATGTCAGTTCCAATTTTTTACACCTGTAGCTCTACTAACTCATCCACTCTGTTTAAAATGCCTCACCTAATTCCCCTTCACTCATCACCGTTTTCTCCCCACTTTGGTGGACCAAAAAGTTACATAGAGGAAGTATAGTCACATTACGCTACAGTTTAAAAATCAAAACAGCTGCTATAAGTATCCTCCAGATGTGACATGAAACTATGGCAAGGCAGATTTAATTTATTATGAATCACATAATAATAATAATAATAATAATATTTATTTAATGCATCAGTTGGAAATGAGCTAAAAATAGCCTTGATTGGTGAGTTGGCAAGCTATCGTTGATCTTTTGAACTTCATTCCCCAGCATTAGTATCTATTGGGGCAAACTTAATATCTCCAAAAGTTGATGGTGTTCATCTGGGTGTAGCGTTTTGTGGGAGAAACATTTCGTCACTCGATTGAGAATGCATCAAGACGGCAAACTTAATAGTTTATTTTAGATTATATAGCTTATTTTTGCAAACATGGTTATGTGTTAGCCTGTTTACTTGCCAGTAACAGTGAACCACAGGTGTATTTCCAGTTGCGTACTTTTCATGATTTATGGAAAGCAATGCTTGCAGCATACAAAGATTACATAAAATTTTATAGTGCTTTTACAAACATACATTTGAACACTATTAAACCTGTCAGGAACCACAAATATCCTTGAACGTGTATGGAATTGCTCTCAAAGCAACCTATGAAGATGCAATCAGAAACGGTGTGCTAAAAAACTTTAGAAATGCTACTTGAGAGTACAATGCATGATAATAACAGTGTACAGATATGGGTGACCAGCATCCCAGAGCTAACAGTAGTCCTATGAATCACTATGCATGTGGGTGAGTGGGCCTCTCATAAAATATTTCCCTATTCAGCCAAATGATTCAGAGCATTGGTGCTGTCCTTGGCATCAGAAGATCAGAGATGATGGAGTAAAATAAAGCAGTATGTAATGTTGGCTGCTCTTGTTCAGGTTGTAGTTCTACCTTAAGCTTTGCCCATGGTGGAGAGGGCAGAAGTTGAGCTATATAAAGGACATGTTTGTAGTGGAGTGAAACCGAGTGTTAAGGAAAATTTAAACTGTCCACTGCAGCCATGAATTTCTCATTCATGCATCCTTGATCTTTGTTGGGGTTTGTTTCCCACTTCTTCCTATTTGTGCTTATTCCTTTTCCTGTTTAAGTAAACTTTTTAACCAATCAGCATATTACAAACAAGTGATAGTATGCACAAAGGTGTATCTCTGTAGCCACTGCGCTGATCGAGATCCTATAATCCTTCCTTCTCTGTAGCTGAACAGCTATGCAAGTGGACACCACAGTACTATAAAAACAGCTTTGCACATAAATGCTGCAGTGCTCATATAAATATTGTTGGCTTTAAAAAAAATCATCATCTTTGTGGTTGATGATGGATTATATCTCGTTCTTGGTTAGTTGGAGTGGAATTTGTGCATGGCTTCTCGATGGTCCAAGAATTTAAGTATCACCAGCTGAAGGCATTGCAGTGGAAACTTGACTGTGTGATTCTTATTGCACAAGAAAAAAAGAGACAGCAAAAAAACTGTGTATGTTGTTTGTGAGGGAGGTACGAGCATACATGCTGCAGGTTGTCTTTGAGTGAAGGGTGTAGAGGGTGTTTTTGTTCCAATCAACTCTAATGGAATGTCTTTTTGTGGAGTGAGGATCAAAAGGTTCAGGGTTATAATGCATGAACCAACACATGTGTCACTGATGCTCAGTGACAGCTATCCCTGCAGAATTGGAAATTGCTGCATTTCTTGTGACATTTTCTTCATAATTCTGTGAAAATAATCACTGAGAGATATCAGCTGGTTGTTATCCCTGCACCTCACATTCCCAGGTTTATTTGGAATGATGCCACATGTTCCATAGAGCCAAACCCAGAGCTCCAGAGAACAGTGTTTGAGGGAAAAGTGAAATGCAGGGACAGGTATTTGTGAAAAATGAAGAAATAATACCTGGTGAGAGATCAGAAGCCCCCTACTTTGCTTTGGAAGAATGATGGTAGTCATAAAAAAGACAAAGAAATTCATGGAAAAAATGTGTTTTAAGTTGACACAATGTGCATGGTGATTTGTACAATTTGACAGAGTCACTACAACAATCAGGGAGCTTTGAAGTACAGGTGCAGCATCTATAACTACGAGAATCATCCCTTATATAGATGGAAAAACATGGCAGAAACATGTAGCTCCTCCTGCATTCAGCTACACACGTGGTATCACTCTAGTCAATGTACTTGAATATCTTTATATGTAGGTGCATTAGAGAACCCTAAAAACTTCAGAATTGGCTTTACACCTAACAATATGCACAAAAATGCAGTTTGTACATTCTTTAAATGAGGTTGTTTATATAGTTGTAAGTTTTTGAACCATGCCAAAAATATCTTACCTACTGCAGCTTTGGCAGCAGTTTTAACATGATCACTGCTCACGATTCCCAGCTTGGCACTTTGTCTTCTTTTAATCAAGCTATCTCCATGGACCGGCTTACAGTGAAAGGCTCGCTGATGCAGTGTTTGTTTCTTATGGCTCTGGTGCTAGCTCTGCTGTCTGCCTGCTGCTGAAGGAGCTAGTCATTAGCAAGGGAACTAATATTTCAGCCCATTTACCACTGTGTACCTTGGTGGTCCCCCTTTGGCTCCGGATCTAGGCCTCTTTGGAATCACAGCTTTTGACCCACTCCCTATGGTGAGTTTATTTTGGGGATGTGGGTCACTGCATCTCTCAATCTAACATATGGATCCAAAATTTCCAAAGGTGAGGTGGAGAATTTCTCTTCCCATCAAGAAACTTTTTGACACAGGATACTCACTGTGTCTCCAAGTAAAGAGTGCTGCATCCACTCCCATATAACTCTTGTTTTTATTTGACTTCAATGGTCTGACATTTAGTAGTACTCATAAATTTTTGCAGAGGAACCCTGCCTTTTGGGGTGGAGACTTATTTGTAAACCTTCACAGTATTTCACTTTATATTCAGATTGATAGACCTCCTGTGGCTTATCCTGTGGGTCTCTGTTTTTCCTCATTGGTACTTTGAGTAATACCTTGGCAAAGAGTCATCTTTTTACATGTGTATGGAGCCTGTGTTTGGACTGCACTGGGTCCAGTGCAGTGTGAACCGAACTAGTAGATCCAGTATACCAGTTTATGTTTTTCTTGTCCTGTTAAATAAACTACACCTATCCAGAAAAGTGCCACTATAGTGCAAACAAATATTTATATGTATATATTTTTTCTGATTTTCTTTCTCATTGTTACTGTTTTGAGAATGAATACCTGAGGAATATGAGTGCAATATCAGTGCTTTTGTAGTAACTGCAGACCTTTTTAAAGCTATTATTGATAGTAAATGAAACGCTGTTATATACTTGCTTAAGGATCACTTTAAAAAATGTTCTTAACACCTGAGAATTCTGCTCATTCTGTAGTCAAGAAGAAATACAGGGAGAGAGTAAAACATAAAAAAAAAGCCAACTTGACTTTCCTTGCCTGGGGAATGAAATGCTATAGCTGATTACTACAGCTAACTATGACAGGAGGACCACCAAGGTAGCGACAACTGATGTAGCTGCCTGCAGGGTTAGACAAAGGTTTACATATTACACAAGCAATTTAGATGTTTTCTAAACATGTTGCCAAGACAGTGGGAGTTGGCAGCTTTTTCCTTGTTTAGGTTGTCTTTTTTTCCTTTTTTACTCTACTCTAGCCCTACCGCCCCCCCCCCCCCCCCCCCCCCACCACCACCACCACCACCACCACCACCTTCCAAGCCTCGTATTTTGCATGGATTTTGTGTAAATCAGTGAAGAGTGAGGGGATGGGGAGCGAAAAGCAGGGACTGAAGCACTCTGCACTTTTGTGCTCTCTATGAACTGTGAGTGAGCTAATAAATTCTTTCAGCCACTCAGCATAGCATTCACAGATATCCCCCAAAGATTACACACACAAATCACCGCACAATAGAGGCCACCGGGAGGGTCTGGGCGTCACTGGGGCCCCCGACCCTGGGGACAGGCGCACATAAACAGGCTGCAGAAGACCTGGCAAAGTCTATGATTTGCAGAGGAGATGCTGCTAAACCCTGAGTCAAATGCTTCCTAATGATTGGTAAAAGTATATGTTTTAAAGGTGTGTAGTGAAATAGAAGCAAGAGTGAGAGAAAAGCAAAGAAGTGAAAGGGAAGATGAACGTCAAATTTAAAAAAAAAAAAAAAGGGAGGGGGGACAGTGGGAGAACTAAAACAGGCAGGGGGTTATGGATGTATAGAGGCTGTGTGTTGGGGATGATGAAGATGACCAAGGGGGGTGATTCCAACCCCACACAGCCAAGCACAAGCCAAGCAGGGACATAATTAACTCCTGGATCTTTTGTGTTTATCATCTGACTGCAGGGCGGAGATGAAAGGGGCCTGCTAAGCTTGGCATTCCACCCCAATTATAAGAAGAATGGCAAGCTCTACGTCTCCTACACCACCAACCAAGAGCGCTGGGCCATCGGACCACACGACCACATTCTCCGTGTAGTTGAATACACCGTTTCGAGGTAATGGGAGAAGTAGTGCACCAAACCACTGCCTGAAATGACACCATAAGGGTACATAAAAGGTCGAGGTTAATAGAGACTGGATATGCAAACTTATTTTAAGACATCTTTAGCACATGAATGCAAAACAGTTTTCATTTTAGACAACTGTGATTTGTAGTACTGTACCTATGAAATGTGGTGAACATTCCCATTTCCCATTGTTTTTAATTTTATTTAAATTCTAAACACTATCCGGTTGTTCAGTGATGACACGACGAATCCTACTTCCGGGCCTAAAGTAGTCTGCGTTTAATATGGCTTTTGTGTTGTTAACATGTTTAATGTTATGTATTTTCTTCTATTTGATCTCAAAAAGCTCCTAAAACAGTCAGTGATCACCGTTGACCTCCCTCGGCTTTTATTACCGCTAATCATTTATTTAAGCTCAGTTTTTAAAACCTTAGAATGTAACTACAGCCCAGCCCATGCAGCAGTATATGAATGACTAACCTCGTATTATGGATGGATTATCTCAGTTGTTCTCCTGGCTGAAGTTTGGTCCTTTTACAGCATCCTGCCATGCGATTACATTTGTTCCTGACCACCGAGAACACTCACGTTAACTTTTATCGAGTGGAAAAAAAGTTAGCTTGTTTATATTATGCTAACATAGCTGTGTCGCTAGCGGTCACGTAGCACATCATTATATACCAGCTAGCCCAACTTCAGTAACCCTACAAACGTCACTGCTTTTTAGTTTTCTGTCTTCATTTATGCTGGAAGTGATAACAGAGCTGTACGTTTTAATTTGTTTCCAAAACCCCGCAGTCAGGACATGCTATATTGTATTTAGATAGCAGGGAGTTAGCTCGTTAGCTCGCTAGCTTCTAACTTCTAACTCCGTTAAATGTCATAAATTCCGTTTTCATGGATGCCTGGATGTTAAACTCAATAGTTACACCTGGTAGAGCAGAACGCTGATCATTTTTATTAAAGATGAAAGACTTTAGACAGTTTTTCAACTCTCAGTAATGCCATAGTGATCGTTTGATATATGGACCTGCAGCGGAGTTTAGGTCCAGACACGGCTAGTGACGTCAGACTGAACAACCGGATAAAAAGGACAAACTTTTCTCATATGGAAGTTTCTGATTACTGAATTGTGGATCTTTTGATTATACCACTAATAAATCCAACCTGCTAACCTCAATTTCTGCAAGAAACCATGGTAACAAAACCTTCAAAGGCACACTGAGGATTCTTCTAGACATGCAAAGAAATCAAAACAGATAATTTTTGTCTTTTGAGGATTTAGAAAGTAGGTCAAATCGCCAAGAAAAGTGTTTTGATAAGATGTGCAACGCTCTCATTATCATAACAGTGTTTTGCCTTTTCCTGTGTCTGTACCTTACACTCCCTTCACAATGACCTGTGATTAAGAAAACAATCTTTTCTCACGAACATGTTTAAGTGTTACATTTTCATTTTCATAATCACAGTTGTATGTTTGACTTAACGATCTAATCTTAATTATAATCTTGGCATGCAGTCTTGGTAACTGCAGCACATAGTCCTTAATTTGAGGGTCCAATAGAGAAATGGTAGTTAAAGTACTTAATGGTAGCTTAAAATACTTTTTTTTTTTTTAACTTTAGGCTTTTTAAAAATTGCACGACTACCCAAAACAACGCAACTTGCCATATTAGTTGCTGATACTGTGAAACTAAATTCTCATTTTGCACTTCACTTGAAATTGTGCAACATTTTGCACCCTGTCTTTACATCTCCACCCACTGTCTTTGGCGATACATTAGATTAAGACTAAATGTCTGCAGAAAACAAAGTATTTAAAGTAATTTAATGTTGGATTTTGTTCCGCGTGTCATGTCAGCATATCTTATTCATGCCTTGGTGTCATTGTACCCATTAACAGAGTCATTATTTGAAGCAAACAGACAATCCATGGTGATAGTGCATGTATAACATGCACTATCACCATGAGCTTTTCACATGTGAAAACATGAACGCTGAATTGAATGGCCTTTAACCTGCCAGCTCCCCATTAACAGTCTGTGTGATATAAAGTTGCACCAAATTAGTGAAGAAAAAAGCAGATAACAGTTCAGAAAATTCATTTACAAAAAGCATTATCTTTTATTGTATATTTTAAAACACTATATGACCATATGTCTGTGGCTTTTACATCAGTCAGAATGACCTTTTTGGCCATTTGTCCACTTTCAGATATCATACATTTGAACTCAGACCCCTTTAAAAATAAGGGAGCAGACAAAAGTCCCCTTATTTATTTATAAGACAGCGTAAAAGCATCAAGGTATAGAAATGTTGTGGGTACTCCTTATAAATGCCGTTTAGCAAACATATTTTTTGCATTTGCAATTTTTTATGATTTTCTCAGGAAAAACCCAAACCAGGTAGACACAAGGACAGTCCGAGTACTAATGGAAGTGGCGGAGCTGCATAGGAAGCACCTTGGGGGCCAACTTCTTTTTAGTCCTGATGGTCTGTTGCACATCATCCTGGGAGATGGGATGATCACTTTGGATGATATGGAAGAAATGGATGGACTGAGGTAAGATCAAAAGTCCAAGGGTCATTTTATTGATGTTTATATACTGCTTTGTGCTCCATGTTTCAATCGTGACCTACCGTGTACAATTTTGAATGCGTGTTCTTGTTTTTGCTTGCAGTGATTTCACGGGGTCTGTGCTAAGGGTCGACATAGACACAGATAGTTGTGCTTCTCCATATTCCATACCACGGAGCAATCCTTACTTCAACAGCACCAACCAGCCACCTGAAATCTTTGCACATGGATTACATGATCCAGGCAGGTAAGTGAAACACTGCACTCTTTAAAGATTCTTGCTATGACTGATTTGCAATTTTCAAATGTAGAAATTCTGCTCATACTATAGGGTATTTTCATTACTGCTCTTGTAGAAAATATGAACTTAGCACAAACAGTAAGGCATTTTGTGTTGGGTCGATTGTTTCTCTGTTGTTAACAATGCTTCCCGGCAATAAATCTTATGCAGTTGGAAAGCCTGTTTATTTCCTCTTATATGGTGACACAAGTAAAATCCATTTACAGGTTGAACAACAGAGTTTGATATATGATCTGCACCCATAAAAACTTCTTCCTTTTTAAAACAGTGTTTTTCCTTCCCACTGTTCCCAAGAGCTTGATCAAAAGGTCTCATTTGATTGGTGGGATTTTCTCTGTATTATTGTAGGGTCTCTACCTTAGTATATAGTATGTCAGTATAAAGTATGTTGAGGTGACTGCTGTTGTCATTTGATGCTATATAGAACTATACACAGCCACAACAGCTGGTCACCAGCTTGGTCACACTCCTGTGTGATGGCATCAACCTGGACTTACTGCTAAATGTCACGTTCCTCCACATGTTCAGGTTCCTGTGCACATGTTGCTGATGCCAGCAGTGGAAGGCAGTCATGGCAGCCCTGTGAGACTGGAGACTAGCTGTATGCAGACTGTTCAGGGTTGTCTTGGTAGAAAGCTGTTGGCCGTGTCATCTTGCAAACCTTGACTGTAGTTTTGTAGAAGACTGCCTATGATTCACCAGTGCTGAGAGTGAGGAAACAACCTGACGGAGACGCCTACCTTGTAGCCTGTCTCTGGCATTGCCCAATTTATGGAACTTCACTTTGGAGGTGGCAGTAGGCCTCCCTCCAAATAATGCAGCAGCTTGGTTTTTGCTTAACATCAGCTGGAAGTAGCCCTATGGGACAGCCCTATAAAGATCAGTCAAACATGGCCTGGGGCATACACCAACTGACCGGTGTACCACGGTCCGTGCTCATCTCAAGATGCTGCTAAACACTAGCCAGTCAGGCACCTGATTGTCAGCAACTAGGCTACTAGAAGTTCGAAACAAAACTCAATAGCAGAACAAGCTGTTCAGCACATGCTCAACTCTGGTGCTCAAATGTAGCACTAGCTTTAATGGGAAATAAACACGCTTTCCAACGGTATAAAAGTTCTTACCAAGATGCATCGTTACAATAAAGAAATAGTCAACTGCATGCAAATTACCTTTTTGTGCTTGTGTTGTATTGCCACCTTTTATTTGTTTGGTGTTTGGATATTACTTCTAGTTATGTTATATTCATTCCTGGCACGCTGTGCTCTGTAGGTGTGCAGTAGATCGACTTCAGTCAGACAATGGGAGTCTTGTAATCCTCTGTACAGATGCCAGTGGCAGAAACACAACAGCAGGAAGAATACTGGAAATTACTAAGGGGGGCGATTATGGTGAGTTACAATTTCCATGAGAATTTCCAAAAATGTTCACAATATTTACCTTTTTCGCATGTTTGGAAGGAGTTTTAATATACCCAGTTGTGCACAGTCTTTGCTGGAGTTTTGTTTGATTGCATTACATCCTGAGAAAGAAGTGAAAATACATTAGCATCCTGGATAACCTTTCACATTTATTTCCCTGAAAGTGACATGTGTTTTTATGAATGTCTTTCATTTTGTAAGAACAGTGTTTTGGCAACAGATTCAGAAACACACCAGGTTGAGTGCAGAAACAGTGAAGGTTAAATGTAAAAATGATGTGATCCAGAAATATTCCCCATTTGTGGTGTGTAGATTTGCCAGTGGAATGTAAGATGGTGTCCACAAGTAAGATTTAAAGCTGTCAACAATAATAACTGTCTAGATGATGGTTTGGCGCTGTTGAAAACACAGCTGAGAGGAATCTAGCTCTTCTCACATTTAGAAAATAATCAATAACAGCAGCACTTTACACTGCTTATCCTTCCTTTTTCCACAAAAAGAAAATTACAGCTCTTTGTTCCAAAATATATGAGGCAGGTTATCCTTGCGCTAAGTTAATCCTTAACTTTGATCTCTCACTCCATTTGAAAATGTCACTTCTTGCCACAGACCACCTCTCTCTTGGCCTGATGCCCGATTTAGCCAGTTACCCAAACTCCAAAGTGATTACGGTTGGGAAATGAGCACACCCCGTCTCGGATCATAAATTTTTAAGGGCGGCAAACCTCCATTCATATTTTTCCTTGCCAAGAAATCGTAATCCAGTAAATGTGCCACATTGCCTCACCATCACGCTTTTGAATAAAAGATCAATACATTCTTTTCCAGTTTTGATAAAACACGTCCGATTTAAATCTAGAATTCCCTCTTTCCTCCTTTTTTGTGTCTCATATAAACAACACAGCAATTATGTCTGATGAACGTGGTCTATGTTTTTGATTCCAAAACAAACAAAACAACACCAGTGCATGAATCAAGAAAAGCAGTTAAGTAGATTACAATCCCTGCAACATCAGTGAGACAGAAGAGATTGTCTCTGGGATAAAACATGCATGCAGACAGTTTGTGATGGTGTTACAGATGAATGGCAGTAGGTCTATGAGTCTATTGGAAGTGCCTAAATAAGACCTATGTCTCCTTGTCCCAATAGAAAATGAGCCCTCTGCCTATGACCTGCATTCCAGTGGTGGAGCACCACCTGTGGGGGGTTTCATCTACAGGGGCTGTCAGTCTAGGAGACTTTATGGCAGTTATGTCTTTGGAGATAAAAATGGGTAAGTACAATAAAGAAATGACTGATTAATATATTTAAACAGACTATTTAAGTAGCTGTATGTTTTTAAGAATTAACTGTGTTTACATGATGACAAAAATCTATATTTCAAAGTCATTCTAACATCTTTATCCTCCCAGAGTTGATTTATGACTTAGTAAGATCAACATGACTTTTCTTCTAATATTAAAAACTATTTCCTTTGCATTAGCATGTGCCAGTGTAAACACCAAGTTCATCCACATGGGAGGAAAACATAGACTCCCATGTCACCATGACAGCGCGGACCATTGAGTGTCAGTGGAGATTACACATTGTTCTCTGTGCTGTTCACACTTTTCTCTGGTTTCTCTGGTTTTCTCTGTTTTGCTGATGTCAAACACTGACAGTTGAGTAAACAAAGGGGGTAAAGTGTGTCCCCTCCCCAATCCGTCCAATTATCGCAAGCTGGCACCGTGTTTAAAACAATGTGTGATCAGTTAATTCTGTGCCTTATTACAATTTGGGAGCATTTTGTTGTGGCAAAGTGAAGGCTCCGGCATGATGTTTGTTTTGAAACTAAAGGCTGACTTCCTAACTAACACCATGTGGGACATGGTGTAGAAAAAGAATATGGGTCATGAACCATGCTGTACCATGCTACTACAGTTGATTTCTTTTGCTTTCTCCCCTGTGCACAAATGTAGTACTAAACCTTTTACAGTATCATCCAGTCTGCAGTCACTTACCATGAGTATTTTTACTTTTCACTTTAGTAACCTTCGCATCCTTCAGAAGTCTACATCTTCCACATCAGCGAGTGGTGAAGAGTGGCAGGAAAAAGCTCTGTGCCTGGGCTCAGCTGACTCCTGTGGCACTATGCTTGTTGGACACATCTTGGGTTTTGGAGAGGATGAACTGGGTTAGTATGGCAATTAATAAAAAAGCTAAAAATGTAATTGCTTCTGAGATCTTTTATCTTTGTTTCTTTTCTCTCTTGCACTGATCTTTCTTTAGATTTACACCTGACCTATGTTATGACATATTTTCTGAAGCAAGGGTTTTAATCCATGACTCCTTGAAGGCTTGTTGACTCTGTGTGTGTATGTCTGTGTGTACAGCACATACATACATAACACACATAACCACAGCATAAAACACCACTGAAAATCTGAAAACAGGCAGCATGGTGGCGTGATGGTTAGCACTGTTGCCTCACAACACCACTGTCTGGCCAAGGCCTTTCTGTGTGGAGTGTGCATGTGTTAGCCCTGCATCAGACTGGTGACCTGTCAAGGGTGTACCCTGCCTCTCGCCCTATGTTAGCTGAGATAGGCCCCCCACAACCCTGATAAAGATGCGACTGGATGGATGGATGATAAAGCCAACACGCCTCTCATTAAGTAGTCCAAACATCTTAGTTAGTTGTCATTTTTGTAGGATAGTCATAATCTTCCAAACCTCCTTAATTCACTGTGCCACCATGACATGTGTTAAGTGTTTCTCTGGGCAAGTTAAAGATTAAGTTAATATATGCAGAGTAACCTGAAATGAACTGACACAAGACAGTTTTATAAGTTGGATCCCCACCACACACTCGAAGAATTGTAAACCGTGAGCTCTGATGTTTCTGATTAAAATGAACACATGATGTAAATTGTTCGCCCAGCCATCAGAAATCTTTGATCACAGTTGTTGCCAGGTCTTGGAGTTATTGTTTGACGAGATATTTAAAGATTTCTGTATTCGATCAGGATTTGCAAGTGGTGCAAGAATTGCAGCGGGGGCCAGGCCTATGTCCCAAAAAAGAGGCCCCACAGACAGATGTTTACAATTTGTCCCCCTATGGAATTTTCTTGCAGGCTTGTTCCTCATTAAATCATCTGCCTGGTTCCCAGTCATGAGTATCCAATTGTCTCATTAAACTCTTTTTTAAAATCCATTGGCAAGTGCAGAAATGCAGAAGCCTGTGATACACTCATTTTCCTAAACCCCTCATGTCCTCCCCTTTCATTTTCTTGTGTTTCCTTGTCTTGTCTCTTCTTTAGTTAGGCACTGGGATCTGCTGAATAGTTGTTCGGACATTGGAAGTATTTCATGCAGATGATGCTGATGGGATTCCCACTTAACTGTTCTTCTTTTGCAGGTGAAGTCTACATACTTGCAAGTAGTAAAAGCATGGTGCAGTCACACAGTGGGAAACTCTACAAGCTGGTGGACCCGAAAAGGTAAAAGCAGGAAGTCCCTTGGTAATTTGTGCTGGTATGTAGTTAGTTGTTCGGTGATTAAGTGATTCCTTCTTAGTGGGGAGGACATTCAGCTGTTCATTAAAAAATCCTGCATTACGTCCACAAGAGGGCAAACCAAGACAATGAGAGACAAAACTACTGGTAAATCGCTCTCTCTTGAGTTGAGTTTAGTTATAAACTCATTCCCCAAAGGTTGTAATTGAGTTATTCGTTCGAGTTAGTCTGAACAACATTTTCAGTAGCTTTAAGTGTTGATTGTGATTCCTGTCAACAACAACACAGATTATTTTCAGTATATTCAAGCAGGACAGCCGTTCCCAAGTATTGGAGAATTTGGGATTTTTTTTAGACAGCAATTATAATTGTTACCTTAGCATGTTATTAGCCTATTAGCCAATTCTTACCGTTAACTGTTTTAGGCATATTAACGCAGCTTTAAAAAGTTAAGGAGGTTTAAAAAATTAAAAAATACAAGCAAATAATTCAACAGTGTGAAGTTGTTTAACTGATATCATGAATTCATAATCACAGCTAAAGTTTGGAAAAATAATTCAGGAGGATGATATCTGAAAGGTGAAGCAGCAAACGCTGTACGTACTAAGGTTGTCACGATACTTGATTTTCCTTATACCCAGGAAAATATTCTAAATACTAGATACAATTTTTGAATTTTTGATTTTGATAAAAATTACACTTCCTCTTAGAACAATAAAACGAATAACATCAATGATGACAGCATTTTTAGGTTGCCAGACATAAAGAAAATACAGTAAGGTAAACATGTAAGGTTGGCTGAGGTCGCACTGCACTTTTCGTGACTTGGCACCATATTTTTTATTTTTGATCAAAAACAAAAGAAACACAATACTTTCTAGATACAAATATTTGTGATATCATGGTAAATGAACTCATTGTATTAGGATTACAGACAGGCAGGAGGTTTTCTCAAGCATTAAGGTTATCATTTTTTTTATATTAGCCATAGCTGCTAGCCTCTTTCTTAATGATAATAGACAGCTAGTGTGGCTATAAGGTAACTGTTAATACTTACCGGTAGATGGATAATGCTTGTAGACAACAGCTAGGTTCTGTGCAGTTAACTATGATGTGTGTGTGTGTGTGTGTGTGTGTGTGTGTGTGTGTGTGTGTGTGTGTGTGTGTGTGTGTGTGTGTGTGTGTGTGTGTGTGTGTGTGTGTGTGCTGATATCAATACTATTGCTAAAGATGATCTAATCAGTATTAATTTTGTATTGTCAGTTAGTTTCTTAGTATTGAGATATATGTATATGTATATGTATATGTATGTATATATATATGTGTGTGTATATATATATATATATATATATATATTATATATATATATATATATATATATATATATATATGTATGTATATATGTATGTATACATATATACACACACATATTTTTTACAATATGTGTGAATAAGTGTTAATGCAGGTGAATACTTCACTGTTAGCAAAGTCATATCCGTTAACACCCCTAATCAGGACTGCCTATTACAGATGGAAGAACTACAGTAAACCACCAGCTTTATTTTCATGCTGTGATTGTTTTGTTGTGAAATTTAGATGAGCCTAACAGCATATTATGAGATCTTAGTTACTCACAGATCATCACATTGAAGAACAGTGTCATCCTCACTGCTTACACACATTCCTGCAAGTAGAATTGTTTATGCACATTACAGCTTCCTAGAATGGATGCTGAGTGGTTACTGGAGAAAAAAAAATAGCCTTTCAAATTGTTTGCTTAGAAAAACACTGCTAGCAGCACTGATTCTATTGCTTTATTCAACTTTTGTCTACTGGTTAGATGCTAAATATGCAACAGTGATATTTTGGTAAGTGTGAGGGAAAAGACAAAGACACCTGTTGTCAAGTAGCGACATTTCAACATATTAACCACTAACAGGGTGATATGGACAAACTCTGTATAGCCAAAATATCCATGTAGATACACTATCCATTCATTTTCTTCCACTTATTGAATTCAGGGTCACAGAGGGATTAGAGTCTATCTTGGCTGTCATAGGGGAAGAGGTGGGGTACACTTTGGACAGGTCGCCAGTCTATTGTAGGACTAACACAGAGAGACAGACAGCCATTCACACCTACATCCAGTCTAGAAGCACTAATTAACCTAACATGCGTATCTTTGGACTGTGGGAGGAAGCTCAAACACGCAGGCAGAGAAGGCCACAGCTGGGTGGTGGATTCGAACCCTCCAGCACACGTCTACTTCCCTTTGGGAGGTGAAATCCATTTCTTTTCCAGTTTAATGCTTAATTAGCTGTGGAGGGAACATGTGCACAAGTGCAGCTTCATCATTTATATGTCAGTACATGTCACCATATCATAATCCTTACCATATGCATCGCAGTATTAGAAATCATTCTGATAGTGATAGATCTATAAACTCTGCTTGGAGAGCCAAGTACATGTGAAAAACATTTGTCACTCAAGATGAGGAAATATGAAAACGGAATGAATTCGACCCACAAAAATACAAGAGGGATGTATAAAAAGTTTGATCCGTAATATTTGCAGTACAGAAATCACTTCAAACATAAGAGGACTTTGTAATTCAAACCAACTGCATATAAAGTCTCAAGCCAAACCCACTCAGTGATTGTGCTTTATCTTTTTAATCAGTGCTTTTGCAGGGAGATGAGAGCATAAGATCCTGTAGGCCTACCGGTTCAAGTGAATGAGTGGCTTGTGATTAAGAGAAGTAAATAAAGTAGCATAAGCATACTGAGGAGAAAGAACACAATAGAAACATATTCACATCTTATTATTCCTGGGTGACGGCAGTGCCACCCAGGCATTAGCACAGTTAATTACAGCACAGATGTTTCAAAGGGGGCCCTGATGGCTTGCTTCGTATTTATGTTTTCTGGCATGGCTGCTGGACGCATTTCTCCCAGAGAACAGTTCTTTCCACCATCAACTGGACTTGTTTAGTTTGTGTGGACCCTGTGGTGTTAGAGTCCTGACTCCTAATACACTCTGGCTTCGTTATTAGGATTTTGTTACAGGGAGGATGGAGAGAGGGGGCAAAGGGGGGGAAATGAATAGGGTAGCTAACGTGTCTGACCCCAGCACGTTATCAAGTCTGGTGGTCCTCCCTTCTTTTCTCTTCCCTACTGCAGGGACATCTGGACTCTGAAGCCCATTCAGACAGAGGTTTGTTTTAGAGTGTGGTGGTTTTTGTGGCCCGGTATAGCATCTCACGCTGTGTTTTAATCAACTCTGTGTTTGGGAACATAGAGTGGGAAAAAGAGGAACCGTTAGGGGAGCGGTAAAGGCTTACAAGGAAACATCAACCATAAAATCCCTCAGCAGTGTTTGTGTAAACACGTCCTGGCCAAATGACTTCATTTTTAGGTATTTGTTTGTCAGTTGGAGTACCCCTCCAATAATAAATAGGCCACCATGCATTTTGAAACATGCCGAATGGGTGTGGTGTGACTGAGGTTGTACGCGAGAGAAAGCAAGAATGTAGAAAGGCGCGGCTTGTTTTTGGTGTTGCAGTGGGATAGAAATATGCATTAATATTTATCATTAATATCTTTACTGACCGTATCTCAGTGTGGTGACTGTAAGATGTGGTTGTGGTTTAACGATCAATGAGAGGACCTTAGAGTTTAGAAGATAAGAATAGGTATCTGTGGAAGCATGTTTAATGTTTCACCTTTCCACAGCAAAGTGATTAAATGTAATTTCTACCCTTTGTTGCTTGTCTTTAACATACATCAGTAACCCTGGTTCTGCACTCCTGAGTGTGCCTCGAACATACTGCAGGTATTCAGGGCCTGGGTTTTGCTTCTTTTCTGTCCCACTGAGTCTGCATTTAATAACAATTATTTGTACAGTGAAAGCATTATATTTGTGCCAGGAACAAACCTGTTTTATGTCCTTTTACCTGTTCTGAGGGTCATACAGTAAAGTTACGTGTTTATCACATCATAATTCAGAATCCCCACGTTGCACCCCCACCTTGCTCCTATGGTCAGTCCTTGGCAGGAGCTTAATTAACATATAGAGCCAGATCTCCTGCTGCTTTCTGGTACAAAATGCAATTTGCCATTCTTCATGTTGCAGCTCGTCACAGGGAAAGCAGTATTGAGAAGGACTTTTCACACGTTCGGGTTTTGTCAGCTGCAAGCTAGACTGATTGAATTACAGTGAGCAGAGCCCTTAAAAAGACACAGTGAACTTCAAATAGGGCCCTGGGACCTCCTTTATGAACTGCATTAGACATGGAAGTCACAAATCACTAGATGTGCTGAGGAAGGAGACCACGGGTGCTCCTTCGTGGATATATTTATCTATATGTGTGCTTTTCTGTGTGTTGTGTGCATAGATGTAAACCATGTGGGTGGTGGGTACACACACACATGCGAGCTTGTGTGCGTGTGTGGTACGCCAGCTCCCAGCACGCTACAGGAAAAAAAAGTCTTTTCTTTATTTTCCTATCCCTCCTAAATCTTCCTACATCTCCGCTGTGGTCCTCCCCTTGACAAAGCTGCTTGCTAGTCCCACTGAATAGCCCTGGCTCCTACAATACACAGTAAATTTCTTACACAATTAAAACAAGGAAAGAAGCTACAAAAGGAGCCCCCAAACAATGGAGTTGGATGACAAAACAGCAAAAGAGACCACACTGGGCCGTTTGATTAGGCTATTGTTAGAGTGCACAGTGTACACCACTCCATAGCCCTTTTCTCACATACACCTCGTGTCAATCAAACAGACCCTGCGAGCTAACAAGCTAAACACAGATACACACTGATAACAAGTTTGAGGCAGAGCATTCGCACTCCTTCGACATGGAAGATTTGAAGGATGGTCACTGTTAATGTTTAACTGACGTAAGGAAGAAGAGAGGACACAAAGAAAGAACCTGATCCTGCATTCATCTGCCCTGTTCTGTATGTTATCTTTGCAGCTGTGCTTGCGTGCTTTGTCACTTTTTGCTCTGTTTTATGTTCAGTTATGGCATGATCAGTGTCTCATACCACTCTCTGACTTTAGTTGTTCTCTTTCTGTCTCTCCACTTGTAACTCTTGTGGAAGCACTATCGCCTTCTCCCACTCCCTTACTCTCACACATACGCCACCCCTCCCAAAGTTGATAAATTCCCACAGTGGCTGTTGACCCAGCTGCCTTTGTCAAGTGGTGCTACCAGCAGGTGCTGTTTTCACAGCCACCCTGGCAGTCGTACAGGCTGTTTAGTAGCACTGCTGACCCTGCCTGCTATTAACAGTGTTAGCTACAGACCAGCCCCCCCAATTCTCTAGGGACTCTTACTCTTTCTCCCTCTCCTTCTCTTTCTGTTTTCTCCCCTCTTTTGCTCTTTTTTTTTTTTTAACTACATGCAGCCTGCAGCAACAAAAGCCAGCAGAGATGGAGTATGGAGTTGGGTGCTGATGGGAGCATGGGAATCAACCCCACCGACACTCCATCCTCAAAATTTAAAGCAACTTTAACACATACACACAGGCAGTGTGTCTGTCAGAACACCTGCAGCACACTTTTCAAATCAGGAAATCAGCATTTAAGATTTTCTTTATTTAACATATATTTGTGAAATTCTTCAAATATATAATTAGTATGCACAAAATCAAGTGTATTTATCCCCCAGTTGTTAGTATTTTTTGTAATAAAACTGCATCTTTCATTTAAATCTGTACAGCAAGTAAAATGAAAATAATTTATACCGAAGTACCGACTGCTGGAACAGGTGATCAGCACCTCACCAAAGCAGAATAGAATGAGTATCTAGTGGTGCTTCCACAACAAACACAAAGTAAACACTTTGAGCAGCTTCATTACTCACAGAACCTGCTCAGTGGGCTACTACATGCAAATCCAGGTTGGCATTTACACCGCATTACCAAAACCTGTCAGAGCAACTCTTATGACACCTCCGACACTCAGAAATGGAGGAAAAGCTTATTGATGCCATTTGCGGGCAGCCTTCGCTCTTAGAGACAGGTAAAACAGGAAAGAACACAATCGTAAGACTCTGATAAGTTCTGAGATGTTATTGTAACGTAAAACGTGACTACCATAGGAACAGCTACCCAGATGGAAGTAATATGTATTCTAAAAATAGCTGATTTGAGCTTTAATATACAAATTGCTGGTTGTATGTCTTCAATCTAGTTTTGGCTTCTCCTGCTGATTGACTATTTGCTCCCCTGCCATGATTGATGAGGCCCGTCCTATCGTGGAGTGAGAATTACATACATACACATTCAGTGACCTCACTGCTCACGCCTCTCATACCAGCACCGGTCCACAAGAGTCCAGTTACCCTGCCTGTGTGTCAGACATATGCACACACGCCTTAATGTCCAACAATGTTTTGTAGCAGAATGTTTACACATCTATTTTTCTTCCTCTCTCTCCTTTTCACAAATGTACACACTAGCAAATGTGTGTGTGTGTGTGTGTGTGTGTGTGTGTGTGTGTGTGTGTGTGTGTGTGTGTGTGTGTGTGTGTGTGTGGGCACCAACAGACGCTTCACATTCGAACTTGATTACGCACTCACTGTATTATTTCCAGATTTGTGGAGCGTGATATGAAATAATTGTGTTTCAGCCCATTTGCTGATGTGCGTGTCTGGATGTTTGTCTTAATATGGAATAATTTGCTTCTCTGGTGTTCAAACTTGACACATATGGTGTGGAGATGTTTCTGTTTGTGTCTGTGTGCATTTTCCAAACCGTGTTCATATCTGTGGGAGCCATGCTTTAACCCCGTATGTCGTTTCGTTCTTCGAATAAGAATTCAAAATAAAAACAACCACACATGAAGCGGCTCATGTCCCAACTACACGCTTAAATATTAACTTGCTATTAATTGGTAATACGTACATGTCACTGGAAAAAGAAACACACGCCTCCTTCAGGAGCAAATACATAAATTTTTAACTTGGCAAGTTAAAAGTTTACATCTTAAAGTCCCTCACTTCAAAAGTGCTTTCCCACTTAAGTTACATATCAACAAAACCTGATAGGCTCGAAAATCTGAGATCACGGACGCAGCGTGCGATGGCAGATTTGTCTTGTTGTACCATTCAAAAATAGCTTTGCGGTAAATAAATAGCTACCACAATACATCACAGTCAAGTGTTAGATGCTTAAATAGAACACATTTCCTACAGTCCCATCCTAAATCATGGTATAGTGTTACTGTGTAGCTCAGCCAGTGTGAGTTGGATGAGTGTTTTGTTTTTGTTTAGTCTCAGCTTTTGTTTAACAGGATTTTTTTTTTAAAGGTTGCGTGAAACTTTGTAGAAACTGTTGTGATCTGGCAACTAAATGTGTTTGTGGGCGAGGCTCAAACCTCTAAACAGACTTGTGTAAGCCCAATTAAACGACCCGTGGACGCTGAATGACTGATTTCTGTTTTGGACACAACAGCAGTTCATTCATTTGAGGCAGATGCTGATTAATAGGTAGAATTTAAACAACATATAGCACATCTCTTGACATGCAGTCATCCAAACAGTGAATTATACCAAAGCTACATGCCTTTAAACCACATTTTCCCTTCATAAATCAACACAATTCTGATTCTGTGTTATTATTATTATTATTATTAAGAGTTGAAATATGTTCTCCGGTTATTAACTTGAAATGTCTTGTATTATTTATTTGGTTATAATAAATTGTTGCTGTGTCGCTGTGGCTTAATCACCATATTGAGAGGCTTCTGTCTGCTGAATACTTACTTTGTCTTCTTCTGTTTTTTTAACAATTGCTGCAGGCCTTACACCCCTAAGGAGTGCCAGCATCAGGTGGAGCCACCGGAGCTGCTGATGACAGCTTGTTCCAGACACTGTAAGAACGGCCGCTGTACTCCCACCGGCAAATGCTGCTGCAACCCCAGCTGGGAAGGACAATTTTGCCGAGTCGGTAAGAGTGCATCTGTCGCCCTCAGCGTATAACATGGACCAACATCGACGTGTTCTTTCACTTCAGATGTGGAAAAGATGTTCAGTAATATCTGCCATAGTTTCCCTAATCAGAAATCAGAGTACGTCTGAATAAAACAAAGTTTAAAGTGTTTTCACTCTCTCATACCCTGTGACTGTAGCCAAATGTGAACCAGCCTGCCGCAATGGAGGAGTCTGCGTGGAGCCCAACAAGTGCCTGTGTAAGAGTGGCTACTCCGGAAACCAGTGTGAGAAGAGCGAGCGGGGTATGCCCAACGACCAGGAGAATGGCGGGATAGTGGACCACATCATCGACATGACCTCGTACCTCTTAGACCTGACCAAGTACGTCGTATAGTGGTGTGCGGAGGGGGCCGCTCCCCATCATCCATCCTCAAGTCTACACACATCTACCTTTCGCCCTCAAAAGACTCTTAAAGAGGTTTGCTAAATGTGGCCCTTAATTTCCCCTCACATTCTCACGGGCAAGCGCACACACACACACACACACACACACACACACACATGCAGGACCCCATCAGACTGCTTTTAAACCACATCACCATACCAAGCTTTTCCTCTCCTTACCTATAAGCTACTTGTTCCTGAACACCAGGCCTGGCATCCAAGCCGTGTTCACATTTCAGAGAGCCCTGCAGACAGCTGATTGATGAGTTCCACTAAGACATTTCCTCTGCTGCTCTAAAAACGCCTTCACTGGCTCCACAGGAACAGGAACTCTGCCGGAGCGGACTGTTAAAACCCCGAGACTTTTATGCTGCCTTACGAAAAATGGAGTTTGAGGCATTTCAGTGGAGACAGTTGATTATTCAGGAGTTCATTAAGGATTCAGAATTGGGTGGCTCAAGATGCAGTTTGTGTTCACGGTCCGTTGAAAACCTAGCAAAGAAATAAATGTCTACGCACTCAGACTGTGAGCACGAGGCATGCGTCTCATAGAGCCTGCAGTGCTTTTTGCTTTACTATTCCAAAAGCACTAACAAGAGGAAGGCTGTGTTGACTCATTTATGTTGTGTTCAGTTTGTGGGTACATAGTCATAAACAGCAATTTACAGTATAAAGAACGTATCACTCATTTGCTATCAGTGTACAGAGAGGATCTACACACAGACGTAGGAATGAGCGAGTTGAGAACATTGTACTTTGTCAGCGCCAGTTTCATGCAATTTGAACGGAGTGTTCGAATCCCATGCACTGTATCGTTTTCCTTTCATTCACTTTTTTATTCAAAATTAATTTCAACATTTATTAAAAGCGCAATGAGAGTAGTTTCAGCTCCACACGTTCACACAGCACACTGTCACAGGTATGGTTTAACAAACTCTTTTCATTGCGTCACACACTGAAGCAGAAAGCTGAAGTCAAAACTATAAAGGGAAGGGATGAAACGCGCTGATGTATATTTCCAATAGAGCTTACCTACTTAGTAATACAAGAAAAAATCTACAAAAAAATCTATAGCATTACTATTGTTATCATAGAGGAGGGTTTATTTTTTTAAGCGTAATAATATATGGGAGAATATGGTGTTTATAGAAAGCAATTTTACACTAAGCTCGTCAGTTCATGTCATTTCATGTTGTACTTATACATATGCAGCTTTTATAAAAGACACGCGAGGATGTTTTCTTTTTTTGCCCAGAGTACAAGTAACGCATGTCTGTGCCTGCAAATAGTCATTCGGAGGAGTTGGTGAAGCTCATCTAAAACCCACCCACCCCCACAGCAAGACCGTCAGAATTGTGCTTCTGTAGTAAGATGATCAAAGATCTCGACAGGCCACCAAGTCAGTGTGGAAGGAGCTCAGAGACAGGGCTGGCATTAACCTGAGGAAGAAAGTGCAAATTCTCTTGTGAGCATTTCCAGAGTAAGGCAAGAAATTTTAAGAATGTGTTTGTTATTATAGATGCATTCTTTCAAACCCGAGACTCATCCTAATAAGAACATTTAATTTTTTTACTTTTCTTCTTCACTACCCGTAAAGCCAGTCTTCCCAGAACTGACAGCTGTTGTTTTAAGTTTTTAAGGAAAATATTTATCCTTGTACTTTATCCACAGCTTTTATTTTGAAAATCTAGTTTCAATAACTTGATTTTCAATTAAAGTTTAGTCAATTGAAGTTTAGTGGCCATAAATGATGTGCTTATTGTTCATCTCCTGCTTTCCTTGTGTTTGCTGAAATAAAACAACTGTACCTGGTCTTAAAACATCAAAAAGGAATTCATGCTGTAAAATGGAAAATTATAATTTTTTAGCACTTAATGTGAAAGTTGCATTGTAGCTGCTGAGACGGCGTGGTGTGAATAGAATAACCATTTTCATTATTTAAGTAGTTACACAAATAAAATAATTATTTAAATTCTCTATGTTGTTTTTACCATTGTACTGTATGTGACAATTTTGTATTCCTGTATTGTAAATAAAAGTAGGGATAACTTGGTTTCTCTTCAGAAATATCAATATGTCTATTAAAATGTATAGCATGTCTGAAATATTTGTCTCTCTTGTTTAAGATGTTTTAAAAAAAAGTATCTATTTTTAAAATGATTTTCTTATATAAATTTTCTAATCAGTTCATAGTGTGTACTATAACATAAAAAAATTTTAACAGTTAAAATTGACCAACTTGGAGCAACATAACTATAAATGTAACTATTAGGAGTGAAAACATTTCATGAATGACTTATGAAGGAGTGGTACAGCCATTAAAGGGTTCCCTATTCAATCAGAGCTTGGTGAAAAAGGAGCAACCTTCACAGATGACTAGGGATGGGTACCGGTATCGGTTCTGATATAAAATGGTAGTAACCAGACCGAAAAGCAGCGCACATTTTGGTGCTTTATTTTTGTGCTTTTTTTCCTGAGATGTCATACACTTTTGATTCTAGCCAATCACTTTACGTTTCCAAGGATAGTAGGCGGGCCCAGGTACGTACGTTCTTTTAGAGCAGAGCTACAGATTAAAAACGCCCAAGGCGAGGCGGTCAAACTCTGGCTGTACTTCACAGCAAAAGATGCAAACTCAGCAGCCTGCAACAAGTGCTTTAAGGTGATACTGTGCAAAGAAGGTAACTCGACGAACCTGGCGACGTATAGCATTTTGTTAAAAGCTGAGAAGTGTGCCGTATTTGATAGCTTGCTGCGAGACCTCACACCGGGCACATCTACTGCGGGTGTGGTGCCCGTTATCGGACCTGGAGTTAGCCACATCCCCCAAAAACCCGAAGAGTAGAGTCCTGGCCCCTAGCCCTGCCAGTGTAGCAGAAATGATGACGGATGATGATGGCAGCAGCAGCCGTGCTTCTCTGCGTGAGTAGCTTAATGTTGTTCGTGTGTAATTTACGTTGAGTAGGCTAATCACGTTATTACATTAATGCACATAAGGTGAACTAGCAAACATCATCATAGCTACATGCGGCTATCTTCTTGTTTGATGGCAGATACTTCCTTCACCCTGGCCAAAAAGGCTAAAATGACCAAAGAAAAAGTGGAAAACAGTTAAACATGAGAGGTTTTTGGACAAAGTTTGTGTTTTTTCCATTGTTTAAGCATTGCTTCCATCCAAGAGTGATACCATATATGCCCCATAGCTGCAGAAAAGGCTAACATTGTTATCTTTTTATCTTATCTTATCTTATCTTATCATTTTATCACTTATCATTTATCATTATTTCTTTTTATCTTTTTGTTATCTTTTTTTATTATTATTTTTTATCTTTTTACAAAAAAACCCAGCTGAACATGAGAGGTTTTTGGACCAATTTTGTGTTCTCCATTCTTTAAGCACCGGTTCAAGCACTGTTTAAGCACCGGCACCGTTTCAAAAGTACTGGTTTGGTACTGGTATCGAATAAAACCTAAACGATACCCATCCCTACAGATGACAAATGAAGCCAATGCGGGGATAACGGAGACTACAGCTCTGTGGGTGCCACTTCAGGCTGGGTCCTAAAGGGAGTCAGTCCCCACAGACTCCCATGTTAAACTCAAACTCAAGTTAAAGTATCGAGAAGTGTAAAAAGTAATATTGGCCTGTGTGGATAGTGTGTTCCACAAAACAAGTCTTGAATGTGATGATTTATATTTAAACTCGTCCAGCTGGATAACTGAGTTAAGGGCATGGTATTTCTGATTGACAGGTGTCCTTACACAGGTGAGTTTAGGTGATTAGCACCCATCTTTTACACTGTGTGGTACCAACTATTACATACTAACTGTTAAAGTAAAATAACAACAATCCCATTAATTATCCACATCCATTCACCACAGTCATTTGGGTGACTTCAGCTGATGGAGGAATCCAAACACTGTGTTGATTTGGTAGCACTCCAACAGGAAGCAGTTCAATAATCAGACCACAAAATCATCCTTTCACAGTAGCATGTGATTATATCGCTTTTCAATCACAGCTAGGGCAATCTCTCCATGTTTCTTCATGCAGCTCAGGTTAACGTCACTGTACACTGGGAAAGTCCTGTTCCCACTACTTGTCTCCTGGATCTCCACTGTGTCAAAACAAAAACAGGGACATACTGAGTTCCATTTGAAGTAGGAAGTTAAAATTTCCATTTCCCAGACTTAACTTTTTTCATCTGGAACGCTCAAGTCCGATTTCCAGCTCAAAAGATCGAAGCAGTCCCACCAACCCTCAGTTAGCAATCCAAGATGGCGGTTGCAAACATAAAAACACATGCTCTACCTCGCTAAGAGGCAAAACAAATCCTGTTTTTCTTGGTTTTCTGACTCTATTACTGGAACATTCGCATGCAGAGAGTGATGTCAAATCCAATATCCAACTTCTGAGGTAAATAGAACACGGCATCATTTTGGGTAAAACACAGAGGAGCATAGAGCTTAGCTAAACCACTCCTTTTCAAAGCACTGTATCCTGGTACATAATGGCAAATAGTATGACCTCAGTTTAGTAATTTGGGATAAATATTTCAACCAGTAACTTGCAGCACGAATATCACACTGAAAGTCTGATGCTATGGGGTGCATGACCCCGTGGGTGTCGAATGTTGCACTCCTGACCTGAGGCATGGACTGTTAGCATGGCCGCTGTGGGATCTTCCACTGAGAACTGCTGTTTTGACGCTGAGTTGTAGCCAAAGACCCAGCTCCCATCACCAGTAAAGATCATTGACATGAACGTCAGGTCATTTCACAGAGAGTGATGATTGAGCCACAAGTGCAAGAACCACAGAGCGATCTAAAAGTAGCAGGAGCACTGGAAGCTATCCAGATGTGCAAGAGGACACGACCTCGAAAGGGGAAAAAGCCCAAATTAAAACCAGGATTTGTGTTTTTTTATGGCTCGAGGC